GGGAAATGCACTGCAAGGCAGCCCTAAGGCCGCTTGGGCCAAGTGACTGTTGTCATTGAATTTGAAGGCCAAATTATGATAAATTTTAATAAATATACGGTGTGAAACTTAAATTAATGGAAGCGCCCTCTTAAACAAAACATGGTATTAAACATGGTGGTACTACGTAAACTCGATAAATGGCAAACATGTAACTAAAGTAAGACCAAGTGGCAATTTAGGAAGCGAGCATTTCTTAATCAGTGTCCACCTCTACCTGCTGCCTGCTTTGTCCAGCTCTTAACTCTCAAGTCCTTCCGTCTTTCTCTGCATTTTCTCACTGTCCTTCTCCCTTTGCGTACAAATTCACAGCAATTTATTCAAATTCATAGCCAAGAAGTAGAGGAATCAAGTCCAACAGGAAGCAAGAATGGCTCTGAAAATTAATGCAATGACCTTCTCTTCATCCTGCAAGCCCCCTCCTTGTTTCCACACACCCAGGTCTTCCAAGTTCTCCATGGCTTCAACTCTCCATCCCACCACTAAGTGAGTATAACTATTATTTTTTGTTTCCGCTTTTCTTTTCACTTTCTTGGTCAGTCGTTTGATCACGCGTTTGATCACGGGGCATCTGCATCTCTCCCGGCCACATCTTGCCGGCTATGGTTAAAGAATGTTTCTTTTATCGGGGTTGTTTGTACATTGGTGATCAAGTGGTTCAGATTTCTGGGTCTTGAATTTTCTTTTGTTTGACTATCGTTCTATTTGTGAATGGATTGGTTCTCTGATTTCCCTTTTTCTTTTCTTTTTTTTTTTTCCTTTTTTTTACATAACTGTGAAGGGTTTTTAATGTATTAGGGACTGTATTGATCCCATTTCAGAGCATTGAATGTTTGAAACTTGGTGTTGGATTCTTTCTAATCTCATGCATAATGCTGGTTTTGATGTGGGTTTTGCCCTGTTTTCATGTTGGCCTGCAAATTCCTTGCTCTTGTTTTCTGATACGTTTATTTCTATTTATTTGGATTTAGTTTTGGTGACTGCTAGGTGGGATTCCTATTTCCGGAATTTATTGTTTTCATTGCTTTGTCATCGATGGCCTCTATTAGAAATCAAAATTCAAAGTTATAGACTTTTATTCCAGAAATTTGATTTTCAATTTTATTTTAAAAACAATTTGATTTTCTGTTTCTGATAACACCACCACCACCATCATTTACCATCATCATCATCATCATCATCATCATCATCATCATCATCATCATCATGATTCATGAGGTCAGTCGTAATATAGGATGCTTCAATTTTATTGTTTTTGTGCACGTATTTGTTATTTTATTTTATAATCTCTTTAATTGCGCGGAGTTCTGAATTTTATGATTAATATTGAATCTGTGATATGTTCACTTTTGGTCTTCTACATACTCTGTAAATGGTTTGTTTTTCCTTTTCAGCTTTTATATGTATCCATTTTTTAATTATTTTTAATTTCATTTGTTGAGGTTAGTTCTGAATTCATGAGTTAACTTATAGTTTGGAACTAGGTACTGTTGGTTGACTAGTTTCCTTTTTGATTGGTGGAATTTTTAAGTACTTTATTTTGTTCTTGCTTTTTACCTCTTTGTTGGCATGTGATTTTCTAAGTTGATAGCTTTTCTTGGAAATCATGAGCAAGTTCTTTGAGTTTGAATGCTGATAATATATGGCTAAATTAACATGTTATCTATAGTCCTGCCTCTCCCAACAAAAAGAGAAAAAGAAGATAGAAAATTAGATTGATTAATTGTCAGTATAGGAGGATTTTCCATTAATTTGATGCCCGAATGCAACTATTTCTTTAATTTTCGTATCATAATCTTCTTTGGGGCAGGTGAAAGCTTGTTTTACTTATTAGACCTTTCATAACATTAGTCTTCTATTCTCCAATTAGTGCATCTGAACTAGTTGATATTTGCCTTCAATATCTTTAATCCAGCTCTAATATTTAGTTTTCTGAGTCTTGTTTTTTATGAGTCATTTTCTTTAATTCTCATGAGAATGAGATTTTCATTTTGTTAGTAGACATTTTTTTTCTCCACCTGATTTCAAAAAATTTGAATATCATGATATTCCAAGCAGCTATTAGAACCTATTATATTTATTTTGGTTGTATTCAGCTTTATGTTTCTGTCTCTGGTAGCTGGGTTTTTTTGACTTTGTTGTTTATTAGTTGGCAGTTGGTCTGGTTAGATATTTATTTCTTTATGTATCCTACTCATAATTACAATTTTATTGTATGTGGTTCCCATTCCTCTATTTTGGGTTGCTGATGTTATGTTGAGTAGAAACTTGATACTTTCATGTCCTTATCAAGGTAGTTGATAAGATGCTTCCTTAATAACCTATCACATGGCAAGTGTTGGGAGGTATTGGCCAACTCTTTCTCTTCGTAAGCTCTTAATTGCACAATAAATGTATGTTTGATACAGTACTCTGATCCTTAAAAGTAACCCCATGTGGGGAATGAAGAATTAAAAGGCCATCATCCAACGATTTGCAAAGGGAGAACAAGTACTGCATAATATGCTTTTGATATAGATAAATCAAGATTATATAAGGCCCAAAGCAACAATTACAGACCATCTTGGCTCATGGGATTGAAAAAAGAAGTATTTTGTTGAAGTGGTTTTATAACTAGGGGTGAGCAGCAGTTCAGCTACTGAGCTGAGCCACTACTTTTTGAATTGGGTATTGGTTCTAGGTGTCTAGAGTAGGTAATTTTCCATTTGGGTACCGATTTGAGCCTGTGACTGAACCAATACTTCTCAGCCCCAGTTGTAAGATTCTTTATTAAATATAAACTATTGTAAGGTATATTTCTTTTCCTTTTCCTTTTTCTTAATCTAATTTCATTTGATCTGTTAATGGCAGCATGGTTTCTTCAATGCATGCTAGTGATAAAATGATTTCCAAGATGACATACATTAACTTTTCCACATGTGTTACTTCACTTAAATATGCTGTACTGCATTGCTCCTATTACTTTGTGGGCTGTTGTTCATAGTTCCTACAGCTGCTAACAAAAGCAGCTATTGCAGCAGCAATTCAAAATTCATGCTTCCAAACTCAGGAATTATTATTATTATTATTTTGCTGGTGGTTGCAGAGAAGTCAGCAATCTGAAGAAGCCCTATTGCCTTCCGCAAGAGGTGCATGTTCAAGTGACAAATTCCATGCCACCAGAAAAGGTGGAGATTTTCAAATCCTTGAATAATTGGGCTGAAGAGAACATTTTGGTCCTCCTAAAGCCTGTTGAGAATTGTTGGCAGCCAACTGATTTCCTGCCCCAGCCTGAATCAGAAGGATTCTATGAGGAGGCCAAGGAACTGAGGGAAAGATGCAAAGAGCTCCCTGATGACTATTTGGTTGTATTAGTCGGAGATATGATCACAGAAGAAGCACTTCCAACTTACCAAACAATGTTGAACACAGTAGATGGGGTCAGAGACGAAACAGGTGCAAGCCTTACTCCTTGGGCAATATGGACAAGGGCCTGGACTGCTGAAGAAAACAGGCATGGTGACCTTCTCAACAGGTATCTCTACCTCTCTGGACGAGTAGATATGAAACAAATCGAGAAGACAATTCAGTATCTAATAGGGTCAGGAATGGTAAGATCCTTGTTCTGCATTCTTTTCCATGCTAAGGTTTGATAACTTAATTGTGAAAGGAAATTATCATGCATCTGATGGAAAGCCTGATTAAACAAATTTCGGTGTTTATATCATAGAACCCTAGGTTAGCTGCACTGCTGGGCCGTGCAGAGAATCCTTATATGGGTACTTAGTAGTTTAATTCTAATTAGTGTATGGTGTTGGATTTGACAACAGTTTCCCACTGATTGGCAAGCTCTGAAATTTAGTTGATTATTATCTTCCTTTTTGTTCTTAGGATCCTAAAACAGAAAACAACCCATACCTTGGGTTCATCTACACTTCATTCCAAGAAAGAGCGACATTTATCTCCCATGGGAACACTGCAAGGCTAGCTAAGGAACATGGGGACTTGAAATTGGCTCAGATATGTGGTGTCATTGCATCAGATGAGAAACGCCATGAAACTGCTTACACCAAGATGGTTGACAAGCTCTTTGAGATTGATCCGGATTGCACATTGTTGGCCTTAGCTGACATGATGAAGAAAAAAATCTCAATGCCAGCCCATTTAATGTTTGATGGCCAGGATGATAACCTATTTGAGCACTACTCATCCGTTGCCCAGCGTATTGGAGTGTACACTGCCAAGGACTATGCTGATATATTAGAATTTCTTGTGGGCAGATGGAATGTAGAAAAGCTAACAGGTCTTTCTGGCGAGGGCCGTAAAGCTCAAGACTTTGTGTGTGGATTACCTACGAGGATTAGAAGGTTAGAGGAGAGAGCTCAAGCAAGGGCGAAGCAAGCATCCAACGTTCCTTTCAGCTGGATTTTCGGGAATAAATTGATTGTTTAATCATGTCCCCAGCATCTAAGCTATGGTGGAAAGCCTCTGATGAAGTACAACAGGGTCATTTCCAGACTGCTATATCATATCCCGACTTTGATTAGAAGATGTATCTATCGTACATAGTTTCTTGAGTTGGTTGGACCGTTGGAGTAGATGGGGTTTATAGCGTTTATGAGTCAGTTTGCTCCCTTTAACCCTAGAAACAATAATGAAGTTGTTTGTTTTAAATACGTACCCTGTTTTATCTATAATGGATGTTCTTGAGCTTTCCATGTTAAGCTATCTTTAGGACGTGAACCCAATTCCCCATAACTCATGAATGTGTGTCATATAAGTTGTCTTCTCTAACTGAGTGAATTTGTTTGCTTATCTAACACGTTCCTTACCTCATCAAGAAAGACATTTCTTTCCAAACTGAAGTGAAAGTCGAAAGCACACACTTTATAAAAAATTGAAAACTTGTAGTAACAAGCTAATCAATATCATTAGCATATTGATTATAATAACATCATAAAAAGGACTTCGTAAATTTCAATAGCCCCTCCACAACAAGCATATTCCAATTAAAAAAATAATGTCCCAAGAAAAGAAAAAAAAACCCATATATTCATTTGAAATTAAATGAGATGAATTAAACCCCCAAAATCCCTCAACAATTCAATTAGAAAGCAGAATAATATCAATTCCGCACCAGCTGAACCCAGAAATTCAGACTTGGAAAGGCCATGGCCAGTCCTTCAAATTCTCCTGCTGCATCTTTGCACTTCTCCTCAACGCCGTTCCGCCATTAACATCCCCTTCAACGTACGCATAGTACTTCAAGAAGAAAGCCAGTGTCAGCGCCACCCACTCCAAGCAGAAAATCACCGCGCAGAGCACCCCAGCCATTTTCAAAATCACCGCCCCATCTTCCTCCCTCACGTACGACTTCAAATTTCCCAGAAAATCAGAAGTTCTAGTGAAAATCAGTACCGACACCGATCCCTGAAAAATCGCTGTCAGAACCGTAGCCACCATGTGCGCCGCATACCACCTGTTTGTACCAGAAGATGCGGCGGCGCAACCCGAAACTGCCCCCACGATGGTGACGACGTGCAGGAGGATCAGAAAAACCCCGCAGAGGGAAGGGACTAAGCGGAGCGAAAGGGTCAAGAAGATGCAACTGGAGGCGGCACCGAGGAGGATGTAGTTGGAGAAGAGAAAGATCTTGTGGGTATGGTAGTGGGATTGGGTGATTGTCGATTGGGGAATGGTGTTGAGGGAAAGACCCATTTGGAGATTTTGATGAACTTGATGATATTCAATGGATTACTCAAATGGGTATTTTGTCGAATTTGGATTCTCGAAGTTGCAGAGAGTGGAAGAAGATGGAATTTCGGAGTTTAGTTTGTGAAGGGGAAAGGTTCGGGAAGAAGAAATAGAGCAGAGTGTAGGCGTAACGGGCATTTTTACTCTGAACGGTCACATGACCGTTGGGAGGGACCCGCCTTATTAGCTGGATTATTATAACGGCTAGTTTTGCATGGGGTTCTTTAATTAGATCAATTAAGCCAACAGTCATTTTCCAGCCTTTTTTTTATCCCTTTCTTCAAATCAATCATCAAGAAATGAAAGTCCGCAAGGGATGCCGTTTGTACCAATAAACTAATAAAATTTTAAGATAATATTTAAATAATTTAATAATAATTTTTTAATATAATAAAATTTAAATTTGAATTATAAATATATAAATACGATAAATAATATATGAAGGATAATTATTTTTTTATTATATAATTTAAAATTTTAAAAATATTTAACAAATTTAATAGTTTAACTAGTATATTTGAAAATGACAACGTGACCTCGTGAGAAAGGAAAGTGCCTTCTCATCGTTGTCCCCATGAATCGCTGGGACAAAGGTCGTTGTGGAGATTTTCAATGAGGATAGAATTTGCGCCACATTCTCTTTACACGTGAGAATTCCCCGCCTCGCATCAATGTATATTAAACATTAATTTAATCCATTTATTTTATTGTTCTAAGAGAAAATGTTTTAAAGAGCTGTGGGTAAAAAAAAAAAAAGTGTTGCTATTAAATATCGAGGTATTAGTATAAAAAAATTATGAATGAAATATTTAAATTGGATTAAATTTAATATTTTTTAATTTTTTATATATTTGACGATGTACAGTATAAGAAAAAATAATTTTTTTTAAAATCTTTTTTTAAAATCTTTTCCACTTCACTCAAGATCAAAATTTCAAATATTTAATTTAAAATTTTAAACTTTTAATTGATTGAAGTGCAGGTTATTATTTTTTAATATCTCACGGGAATAAAAATCCCTATGAAATTTCAACAAGAAGCTTTCCATCTTTGCTAGCGGGGAAGAATATTTCTTCTTACTTCGCCCCCATGGCTAGGATTTCCATGGCACTATAGAGAATTGAAAGAAATTGTTATTCCTAAATATATTGTCAAAATATATTTGACTTTTTTTTTTATTTAAGTTCACATGTAATATTGAATTTATTTATTCATTTAATAATAAATTTTGAATGATTAATAAAATATGTTATTTTGTTATTCATTCTTTAATTATTTTAGTGGGTGTTTATTGCACTAACACTTCATTTTACTTGCCATATTTCCCCTCCACCTACCTCAATCCAAACAAAAGCACTTAAATCAACATTTAAGCTCCTCAACTAAAACCCAAAGATAATGGAAGATCACTCAATCAAGATTGATTGATAAAAAAATTTCCCACGTAAGCCAGGTTGGGCTTTTAAAATTTATGTTAGCTTCCATGCTAGGGGAATCGAATCAACTAGTGGCTAATACAGAAGATGATTACATGAGATGACTTGTCCTGCATTTTTAATTTTGGCTTTCAAACAATAATTATTTTAGTTGACTTGAGAGGCCTAAGTGTTACAAAAATTTCTTTAACAAAACTCAATTGAATTGAAATTCTAAAAGGGGGCTTGATTGCATCATAAATGCTTAGTTCCAGGGCCAACATTCAAGTTGTTTTTCCCGTTTTCAAGAAGCAAAAATCAAAGTCCCCCAAACGTTATATTTTTTTTAGTCAACTACCCCAAATGCTAAGGAGTCGTTTTACGTGTATTTTATATGATAAAAATATATTGTATAGTCTAGATCATATTAAATTATACAATTTAAATCACTAAATAAAGGCCAATTTTTTTTATTTTAGTAACTTTCTCACTTTTCAATAATTTATGTTTTGTAGTTGTGTGTAATTTAAATTGTAAAATTAAAAACCTTTTTATATAAATTAATTATTTGTTTTTCGAGAAATAATAATTATATTCTTGAATGGTAATATAATGATTTGTTAGGATATTTTAGTCTAAAACAAATTTTCAGCACTCTAAAAATACCTCACTATTTTTTTTTTTTTTTACTTTAAATACCAAAACAAGTGATTTAAGGCTATAAAAAGAGGGAAAAAAAATACATATTCAAATTTTGTTATGAGGGTGTGAAAACATTTTATATTAAAAATGAAATCACTTTAACTATTAAGATCCACAAATACGTGACTAATTCTTCATCTAGTTTATTCCATCTTAAATCTCTCTCTGATAATCTCTCTCTGATAATCTCTCAAACTCTTTTAAACTCTGAAGTTTATAATGTTTTTTTTTTTTTTAGAACATTCTGAAGTTCATAATGTTTGGAGCTTCTGATCCTTAAGTTTCTCATTTTCACTTTTAGAAAGCATTTAGGGAACTTAAAGGATCACAATGATTGATTATGCAAGGCAAATAACTGTTACAGATTATACAATTCTTCTTCGTTCATTTTCAAAAATAAAAATTACAGTAGGAACCGGTTCGAATCAAAAGTGAACTGAAATAAAAAAATCGAACCAACCTGCATATATTTAAGAACCGGGGCTGTCGGGTCGTAACTGAAACCGACCCATTTTCCATGTCATCATGCATTCTCAGAATGGTACAAGAATATCCTCACCAGGAACCGGGATTACCTTATCCCGACTATCCAAACAGACGTTCAAGTGTCTCCTTTTTGATTCTTCCATATTTCTTCTCCACAGTCCCCGTTTTCGTATCGCCGTGTCCCTGTTGCGGAGAACCGACGGAACAATGTCCTCGAACGCCTCCGAGAATCAACAACAGTCTGGTGAGTATTTTGTCGTTTCGATTTTCTTGTTGAAAGCATTAATGATTTCAAGTAGAACGAAAAATAAATTAGTCAGCTTTTTTCCAATTGGGTATTTCACCCGACAAAATTCTCTCCAAAGATTGCTTTTTGGATTTTTTTTTAATGAAATTTTCCATTTATTGGGTTGAGCTTTTGTGGGTTTTTTCTGAATAATCTTGTTCGTGCATAGTCAGCGATATTTGTAATAAGACTGCTGCTTGGGGTTTGTTTTTGTTCTGAATGATTTGTTTTTACCTTTTACCAGGTTTTCTGATTGAATCTAAGGACTTGGAGTAAGGGTTTTTCATGATTTTGCAGGTACTGGGAATGGCGCAGATGGCAATATTGAGTCAGTTGCTGAAGTGGGATGGTTTGTTCTTGGTGAGAATCAACAGCATGTTGGCCCATATGCGTTTTCTGAGCTAAGGGGTGAGTTTTGCACTTAATTTATAAGTATAATTATCAATTGTTGTGAGTGTTCAATGCGCACTTGTCATGAATTTGTGCCGATTTATATTTGAGAAAGGTTCTTTATCTTTACCCCCCTTAACAACACTTTTGCAACTTTTCTGAGCTTGCTTTGTTGTCATACTACTAATTTACTGGGAACTTTTCTCCCTGAATTTTGGTTCTACTAGTGCACGGATAGCTCAGTTTCAGGACAATTACTTCACCTGTAACATGTTCAATTGGTTTAACAAGATATTGAACCATCTGCTTTGCTTATTTCCTTCGCCCACTGGACAGAGCATTTCATAAATGGGTACCTCACTGAAAGTACCCTGGTATGGTCTGAAGGAAGAAGTGAATGGCAGCCATTATCTTCAATCCCTGGGTTGGTTTCAGAAATTTCTGAGCAGGGGATTGATTATTCTGCTGCAGGTGAAATTCATTTTCCTTTTTCATATTGACTGACCTCTTTTTCTCCTGAACAAGGGTTCTTACACTTCTGATGTTTTATGCAGCACCCACCACAGATGTTAATGCTCTTTTAAAAAATGGAAATGGAAAGGGAGCTGATTATTCTACAGGTGATATATGTTTCTTCTCTTCAAGAAAAACATTTCAATTCTCTGCAAAAGGGATTCTTATCTTGTTTTGTACCACTCTCCAGTGCCCAACAATGATAATGATGGTGAAGATGAGTTTGAGAAGTGGCAGAGAGAGGTTAGAGAGGCAGAGGCAGAGGCAAAAAGGTTAAAGACTGGGTCTGCTTCCACTGCTATCGGTGATGATTTGGGGGTTGATGATTTTGATAGGCCTGCAACACCACCAGAAGGTGAAGAAGAATTCATGGATGATGATGGCACTACGTACAAGTGGGATAAGAATCTGCGAGCATGGGTTCCTCAGGTTTGTGATTAAGCTATCTGGGTAGGTTGACATGGAAGAATTAGCTATAAGTGGATTTTAAACTCTAGTGCCTCTGGTCTGATCTCAAATTTTCCCGTTAGTGGCTTGTTTGCTTCCATATTTATTTCCTTTAACCCCTTATCTTCTTATATATTTCCTTCCTCCTAACTATTAATTTCAGTGTTGTTCTTGGAAATACTTATTTAGTTTTATTTTTTATTTTTTATTTTTATTTTTACATAGTTCAAAAATTGCATGTTGACTGGATAGGACTATGAAACTTTATGCACAGTAGGAATAAATCTCCAAAGGAATTTGATTCCTCAACAGTGCTTGAATTGTTCTTCACATATGGACTAAATCTGTTCTTGATCATACTGGAATTTATTTTTAGAGTGGGTCATTAATATTAGGCTATTAGCTAAACTTGAGTCACATGACAGTTGCTTTCTTGTATTGCCGTATTTGACACATTATCTTCAAAGATCAGGCATCTTATTTATTGTCATTTAACTTCACATTTTTGCATTATTTTTATCATAATATCTTGTTATACCTGGTTCACACACCCCACTTAATCCATGATAGGATGATACGTCAAGCAAAAGTGAGCAATATGGGGTAGATGAGATGACTTTCTTGGAAGAAGAGGAAGTCTTTCCGGCTGTAAATGCTGCTGATGTGACTGAACCCTCCATCAGAGAAGAAGCTAAAGAAACTGTTGAGTCAGAGGAGGCAAGTCGTAATGCTAAGAGAAAACTGTCAGAAAAACCAGCTCAGAAGAAGGTAGTTTTTGATCGTCACCTATTTTTAACCCAGGGAAAATGGGCATCAAATGTCTT